CCGCGTTGTTGTGTTGCTGTTTCTATTTTCTTCATTAAATGAAGAAATTTTCTGGTCGTCAAGCTGTTTTTCTTCGTTCGATTCATCTAATGAACTTGGATCTATATTTGCTAGCCATTCTGACTCTTCGTCGTCGGAAATATGATTCAAATTGTCCGCCGCTTTTTTTTTTCCCGTAACTACAATCCAATTCTTCGCTTGCGCGATGCGAGAAAACCTGTTTAACCGGTACTACAATAGACGAGTACAAATACCGCGTGATATTTGTACTCGTCTATGGCGTTATTTGTACTCGTCTAGGTGTAGTTGGATAATAAAACGTCAAAGCATAGCAGAATAGCTCTTGGAAATTTTATTTGGGGCTCTCCCGATGATTCAGAACAAAACGGATCCAGAGATCCGATACAGACAGACTGCGGTAATCACCATAACTTAGCTGGTTAGGAGGAACACATATTCAACGATAAAGATTACATGTATTTCACTTTGTTCAGTGTATATTGTGTTATCATAAATAGAGTTTGTAATGCATATATTCATTCTCGGTAGATTTTCTTGATGAAGCTGTGGAAAACTTTCAGAGTGCTCCCCGAGAATTTGATGCTTTTGTGAAAGATCAAAAAGAAGCAGAGGATAAAAAGTAAGCCTGTATTTCAACTTTTATTCTTTGGTACCATTTGAACGCTTCCTCGCCCAGTTGGATACACCGTTTCATTATTTACTCACTGACTTATTTACTGTACAACACGTCTTTAATTTGTCACCGAGAAAGAGATAACTTGCATAACAGAGGTCTGCAGTGTCTCAAAAACAAAAGACGCAAGTTCTCTCCTGTTGCTCACGAGAATATGTCGCGACTGAAATGCTTCTGTCATTTTTCTTTACCAAGTTCAATTTTTTTTTTCAGCGTTGCAGTTGTGCGAAAAATAAACACCCGATTTCTTGATGTTGAACGGGCATTCATAAATCTTGAGGGAATACTTCAGGCCAACCCATTACAGATTGTATAAATACAGTTAATTCAAGATGCAAGCGTTTCAGTTATTTTCCCTTACATGGGTGGTAGTACTTTTCTTTCTTCTTGATAACTAAATTATGACAAGGTATAAGTTCTCTGATTTACCCTCTTCCTTGAGCAAAACTAAAAAGTACGAACAGCCTTACCATTTAGCGTTGATGCTTTCCAGTTTTCCGCGGACTTGCTAAGTTTCTTATGTGAAAGCTATTAAATATTCTGCGTTTTTCAGACACGTCTTTTTGGTTCACTGTCCAACCATTTACTACAGTTGGCATGGTGGCGTGGTTGACGCCATTTATCGTGTTCGAAGGTTTGGTTACCAAGGAAGAAGTCAAGAAGCAAATATCAATTGTTGCATATGGCATAAACTCAGCTGCACAAGTACTTAAGCTCTCACCGATTGAGTAAACAATTCTAAAAAGCCCTCATAAAAGGTCCGTGAATGTGAATGTGAATGTGAATGATTCGATACCTTAATAGCAGCATAGGCTGAATTGCTAAGGTCTACAATGTTACTAAGGTTGAGATCGGACGTCAGCATTATCAGGCGCCTCTGGCAGCCGCTTTAGTCCATGTAACGACCTCACCTTTTTCCCCCCACACATCTCATCCCAGGGGAGGACATCCATCACACAGTAATCTCGTGTGTGGGAAATTAACGTCTCCTACCCCCAACCCTGCAGGAGACGGGACCTCCATTTTATTCGTCCTTATCCGAGAAGACTAGAATATCTATCCATTTCATTGATGTTATAGAAAGGTAGCAAATTCTCCTCAGTTATTTTAAGACCATGAGTATTGGTCCGGCCGGGGCTCGAACCCTCGACCTCCCGCACAACACAATCCGGCGCTCCAACCAATTGAGCTAACCAGGAGGCGGTGTAAGGTGGTGTAAGTAATTAAAGCTGAGTAAGAAGAAAAATTCAGACATTGCGGTCTTTTGCTTGAATGATTAAATCATTATCACAGTAGAGTTGACCATACACGAATCTCCTTACGAATCCCAGTACAATGCTCACTACCCACACAAATGCACACAAAGCTATCCTATTTGAGACAACTAAAAGATGAAGGTAAGAGCTATTGAACGTAAGAGTCTATTGCGCATAAGGTTAAAAACGGTTTGGACTTTGGGCTTTCGTTAGATATTTACTTAGCTGAGAGGTTCATTGTAATTCGCTGTGTGAAATTTGCTCAAAATTTCTAATCAAAGAATCGTATTGAGCTGTCAGGTTGTGTTTTATGACTACTGGTGTGAAAATCTATGATTTTGAGGTTGCATCTTTTGAGGAAAAGTTTGCGAGGCTCCATTTTGTAGTGAAGTTGTTTGATCCGAAAAAATAGAGTATAGGACCTTTTCAAAAGCGCATCTCTTTTAAGACAAACTCGAAAAGAAAATTTTTTTCTTTGATGGTTCGGATGGCCATCAGATTTATTTGCTCTTGTTTTTTACTGTTTCAATTTTCACAACAATGGTCTCAAAGCCTCATTATCCAAGTGAAATTACAAGGTTACGGAGTTCACAACAAGTACCACGATAAACTCATAAAAAACAAAGTTTTTGATTATAAGGTTTTTTAAATCTTTAGGCCAGTTTCTGGCCTTGTACAATTATTCATCATCTATTCCAAACCCGAACAGTGCGTCGGAGTCAAACCATGCAATAGTTTCTTGCTTTTCTTTCTTTTTACGCGCAAGTGGTTTTATTTTAGTTATTTTGCTCTTGAATGGGGGCTTCATTCCTTGGTGTAACCCATGCGATTTCATCTGGCGAAAGAAATGTCACACTCCATAGTAGTAAATATATAGAAATTACTAATACGTGTAAACATTGAATATTTAACAAAAGAAGGGACCTAATGCAGTAAATGGCTTGAACCCGGGGTAACATGTGAAGGTGTAGTCTGATCGTCCGGGTGAGTGTAGTCCTGAGAAGGACTGTTGTCGGTGGTAGTGACTGACGTTTCGACAACCTGTGCGGAAGTCATCATCAGAGTGTTGATGACTTCCGCACAGGTTGTCGAAACGTCAGTCACTACCACCGACAACAGTCCTTCTCAGGACTACACTCACCCTGACGATCAGACTACACTTTCAGAGGCGACTTAAGCGGTATGTTGGAACATTTTCAGATATTAATTATTTATGCAATTGTGGCAATCAACTTTTGGTCATATCCACCCAACTTACCGGAGACTTATCGTACAGGGAATCCGGACTTCTTATATCTGGAAACAATTCCTTGAACCTGGCTATTTCCTCGGATTCGTCACTCTGGATTTTCATCTAGAATGATGTAAATATACGAAATGAAAGGCTGAAGGAAACTAAATGATCAAGGTTCATCAGAGCTCGTTCCCACCCACGTCAGATGCCATAATGAGAAACATGCAAAACAATAATTCTGTATTCAAGTAACTCTTATCACCTTCTTCTGTTTTTGTGGAACCACTGGCTTTCCTCGTGGGATTTGTTTGAGTTGTGTTTCCGGAAATGGAGACTTTGTGGACAAGGGCTCACTATTCCAGCTAGATGGCTTTGGAGAAAATCGAACATTCGATCGTGGTTTGTTCCTCTGATTCTCTTTTTCATTGCCAGGTGTCTTACCCAATTTAGGACTTGTTCTTCCATCCTGTCAGCAAGAAAACAGTTTAGGACTTGTTCTTCCATCCTGTCAGCAAGAAAACAAGCCGAGATCTTGTGTCGATGGTATATTGAAAAAATACAATTAACTTTTGGAATCAAATTAAACTTAAAAACCTTCGTATGTTTCTCGTCTTCCTCTTCTGAGGACAATGTTTGCTCCCCTGAAGTAGTGAAAGCTACCCTCCTCTTTTTCTGAGAGACATCGTTTAGTTTAAGAATTCCACGAGGTTGCTTTGGGGTTTCAGGAACCACCGCAGAATCTTGAGGCGTCGCTTCCGCCACGTCATGATCTGGTAATTTTGGCGTCTTGAGTTTCACATCTGAAGATGGAGTTCGCGGACTTCTGGCAGACTTAAGGCAAAAGTTAACTCGAACCATAAGAATTAACGTTATTCTTTCTTCGAAAAAAAGGTGATAACAGGCTAAGGTTTATCAGTTATTAAAAGTTAAAGCAGCACATTAAAGAAGTCTGACGAAATTAAAATGATCAAATCATGTACGCCTAACTCAAGGGCTTTCAGCGCAAAATTCACTTCTTACATACAATCAGACTGATGACAGGAGGAAAATATGCTAATTTGATTCTCGCTGATTGAAATTCAAACCAAACAAATCTCTCACATTACAGTGTTTTTCGCCAATATTTCCTTGAAGCATGGTTATATCTTCATTCTGAATATATCACTTCAATAGGTAAAATGAGAGCAGTGAGAAGAGAATTGAAAAGCGGCGATGAAGACAAATTTAAGCTGACGCTTGGAATATCTCTTAGGGTTACCTTTGCTTCTAGTTGTTTTTGCAGTACTTCGATTGCTTCAGATTTTTCGAACTCTAATCTTTCCCTGTCTTTTTCCTGGAGGCGTCGAAAAGTCAGTGATATAAACAAGATAACATTATATTTACTTAATCATCGTGAGGCAAATATCCCATACGAGGATGAAAATCCACAATTCCTCTTGTGTTTTGTAAAGGTGAGTCAGTAAATTGATTTAATTTAGAACACAAGTAGTATTTTCTTTTCTGTTTGTATTTCGTCTGTTTTCTTTTTTCTTTTGAGAGCATGTTTATTTGTTTTTATGGAACAGGAGTGGTCAGTGTATCTAAATGACATATTTCAACGAGCCTCAGTAGAATTACTTGAGAGAGTTATACCTGATTCTCCTTAAGATCGCATATATCTCTTTCTAATTTTTTTATTTGCTTCTTGGCCTCCATTAATAGTTTCTCCTGCAGAGAAGAAAACATTGGGAGAAAGGAAGTAAAATGTCGACTTAGGAACCTACTTTTCATCATTGCTTGTAATAGCTATATAAACGTTCGTTCGCCCTTTATCCACTTACATGTTTTTCTTGCGATTCTTTCTCTGCATTGGCAAGCAAGAGGTCCAGCTCTCGCTCCTTTTGGGCCACTATTTTTTCATTTTCCAACTGTCGATTAAAAAGATTAACTTGCACTTTTTAACATTGGTAACGGTAATTATGAGTAAATTAATCTTTGAAAGCGGAATATCTTAATAGATAATTTTGCAAAACTATCACTATGCACTTATTGGGAAACGCTCAGGAAAAAATTCAGCAATATTAATGCTATACTCAGCCTTCTTTCACGCACAGTGTAAATTTATCTGGAATAATTTATGACTTACTTCTAAGATTCTAAGTAGACCGTTTGACCAGCAGTAAACACTGCTGTGTCCTTGCAACAAAAACACCAATACTTTATTTTATATTTCCTTACAACATAGCATTACAAAGTATAAGTTTATCTAGCTAGATTAAATTTTCAAAGGTATTTCAAGGAAAACCTTGTAAAATCCTTAACGCCTAAATAAATCGTACAGTTTTCTAGACAGACGTTAGTCTTGTAATCTACCTTGTACTTTTCCAACGTTGCGCATAGCTCATTCATTTGCTTTTCAGATTCCATTTGTACTGTTTCTTTATCTTGTATTGCCTTTTCTTTTTCCTCCTTAAATTGTCGAACCTGTTTGATTATATTCAATTTAATATAGGTTTAGGGGAATAGATCCCAAAACAAAGACTAAAGCAAATTATTTCTCAGGTGTAAAATCACCCTGCAGTATCCTTGCAAATTCACAAAGTAACTTGATCATAAAGAAATTATACATCAGTTGAATATTCGAAGTGCTAGTTATCTTACCTGTCGTTCAAGATACTCCACTGTTTCAGACTTCGTGATGATTTCTTTTTTCATAGCCTCCAACTGTCAAGTAACACGCAGACATTATTATTTTCTTTAAAATCCGCCTTGATTCATTTACCTGACGTACTATACTGAGTTTCGACACTCACGTCGATAACTGCTTAGTTTTAAATGTTTATTTGAGAGCTGTTTTGTTGCTTTTTTTGTGTGTTTCTGTTAGTAATGGATGAGAATGTGTAATATCCAAAATAACTGTAACAACTAGCGAACTACGATTGCATTTCCAGAAACTTCAAGACTACGTTATAAAGAAAGAGAACACCTAAAGGAAACTACGATCGATTTAGAGGGCAAAACTATTTGAACACTCCGTTTTCGAAGTGGCATTGAGATTTTGTAAGGTAAAAAGCCCCTAAAAACGACTCAATACTTGTCTTTGGACGACTTCGGTATGGTCGCTTGTTCTTTGTAAGTCTTCGTCCCTTTGCTTGAGCTAAAAATTGAAAACGTTCGAGTATTTATCATTTAACTCAAGATGCCTGCTGAAAATGTGAAGTGTCAACGATGTTAATTGATTGCAGTTGAATATCATAAGGCTCACCTTTTCTGAGAAATCTTTAATCTGTTCCTTGGAAGTGTCAAGTTCAGCGGATATCTTTGATTTCTAAAATAGGAAAGGAACACCAGTGAATACATCCATAACCTGTTTGGGGGAAAATTCCCTGTTATCGCGAAATTACCTGATTTTCTAACTTGTCGAGAGCCTTGGTTTGAGAGGTAACCTTGCTTTTCATCGTTTTATTCTTTGTGTAATAAAAAACAATAGCACATGCAAATGGTTAGTCACTGAAAGTACTCAGATTGCCTGATTTGGTGATAGAGTTCTGTAAGATAACCTTTGGATATATACTTACTTCTTGCTGCAGTTCCTTAGATTGTTTAGTTTTGGCTGTAAGCTGATCCTGGAGACCTTTTGCCTGCAGAAATAATGAACTCGAAGGTTACCAAATGTTATGAAATGGGAGGGAAAAGTTAAAAGGGATGAAAATTTATGCGATGAAATTTCCAGAAATTGGTGTTGCAATCAACTCAAAATGAGACGATTCAATTATGATCCAAACAAATCTGATCTTGAACGTTTCAAAGTGGCTTTCATAGTAAGCTTTAGTGAACTCTTGCTCACCTTTGTTTCGAGGATTTCCAGTTGCTTGGTCTTTTCTTTAAGGTCATCTTTTAAAGATCGATTCTGGTAAAATTTGGTAACATAAATTTAGTCTTAAGATGCCTCTAAGTAGATTTACAAATTTTAATAAGTTCAGCCACGTTAAAAATTGCTACAGTGACTTAGATTAATTACGTTGTCTTTCTCTTTCTCTAAAACCGTCGCTCTCTCTTCATCTTGAACCTTTCCGTCACTCATCATTTTGTTGTATTTCTTCCTGATGATATCAAGAAAACAAGAAAAAATAATAAGCTAAATTTCAGGCCCATACATTTGTATATTTTTAGAAGTTACGCTGCCATTTAAAAAGGTGAGGGTGCAGAAACAGAAGTATTTTCCCCTCCGGCTCCGCACTTTAAATTGTCGTTCAAGACATAATTTTTTGAAACACTTTTTCTGGCTTCCTTCCTCCCTTTGGCTGTAGCTATCACTTGATGTTTGGAGGGAAAGAAATAATCAGCCCTGATTGGCTGTAGTAACTTACTGGAGCTTCTGGAAATCTCCATCTAACTTTTCAATGAGTTTACTGGACTCTTCTCCTGCTTTTGATGCTTCCTGTTGATTAAACATGGATTGGCATGACGATTGCGACTAGATATTTTCGATTTTACTCAACAAAAGTTATATAACATCAAAGGAAACAGAACAAAGAAATTTGCGGACAAGTACCATTAAGCTCTTGTCCAGTACTGAATTTTTTTCTTCCAAAATACTGATTTCATCTCTAAGTTTTCTTTCAGAATCCTATTTAAAGCAGAAAAAAGACAAACAGGTTCATCAAATAGTTGAAGAAATACAAGGGTAATTATGCTTATATTAATCAGTGAAGTTTCTAAAAATTGAAAACAGCGATTCCGTTTTTTTTTTTCGGCTTCTTGAGGACGGACTCTAGATTACCCAAATAAACTTGTAATTTGGTTATGATTTGTGTCTGGATTTTCATTCAATTAAGATCGAGGTAAAAGAATCCCGTACAAGCAGTGTGCATCAGACGAGCCTCGGAATTTTTTCAATTTATCAACTTTGAAGAGTGTTTTCGAAAAGATCCAATTTCCAAAGATCGTAGAAACAAAGTCGCGTTTTCAAATTTATCCGACATAATGCAGGCGAGGTCGTATACGAATTGGCGTAACGGACACCATACCTTAAATTCTTCCAAGCAGTTTTGGAGCTGCTCTTTTTCTTTTCTTTAACAACAAGAACAAAAGCAGAAAAATTAATCAAAATTGAACTCCAAAGACGTGAATTCAATTAAAGGATAGATATATGGTTAAGATCAGATACATTTTAGACAAACGTACCATTAGTTTTTGTTATGTAAAGAGTACCTCTCATCCTGAAGCTTTTTTTGAAGATCTTGTACTTTTTCTGTTAAATATTTTTCATTGTAGTTTGCATTGCAGAATTTCCCTTCAAGATCGCTTATTGTCCTCTGAAAAAAGGGTTTTAACATCAATCGAATTAGTAATGAGGGTTGCTTTCTTAGCTGCTGGTTTTACATTAATTATGGTTACGTAGGCAAGCACATTTACCTGCTTCTCTTCCGAGGAAAGCGTTAACTTGCGGATCTTTTCCTCTATTTCGTGTTTAACATTGTTGACTCGGTCAAGTTCGCTCATTAACGAGAAATTCGTCTCCTAAACGTCAAACAACTTTTTAGTACTGATACTTAGTAGGGGAAAATGAAGATCATACATGAAGAGAAAATACTCCAAGTAGAAACATAATGGCTCGAGAAGAAGATAAAAAAGGGACAACAAAGAATTTTGATAAAATGAAATGCTAAAAGAACATTAAACCGATAAATAAAATTGATGACCTGTAACTCGCCCAGCTTTTCTTTTGACTGCCGCAACAAATCTCCTTTCGATGAAACTTTTTCGGCTTCCTTTAACAGATTCTCTTGTAAGTCTGCGGAAGCTTTCATTAAATCATTCTGAATAGGGAGACAAAAACAATCCATAAGAATTACTTTAAAATATTTCCTTTTCAGGTCAGGACGGCTTTTAGATGATTACCTTTTCTTTAAGAATGTGATCGTTTAAAGCATCTGCTTTTTCCTTCTCTCTTCGTAGAGCCTCTGTAACGCCATAAAACATTTGTTCATGTTAAGGTAGAGTAATCATGAAAAACATTCAGATAACATTCCCTTGTAACGTATATAGGGAAGTCCATAACTGTTTCTCTAAATAAAATACTTAAAATTTCTAAAAAGGCTTAAGAACGCACTCAAAAGGGCAACAAGTGCAATGACAAACTTGGTAAATCCAAGAGAATGTTCTCTTGGTAAATCTTATCGGTCAGCAAGGCCACACCTCTAAATAAAGGAGTCGATAGGACTTTGTAAAGAGGGATCAACTCATAAACTTACCAAACTTTACCCGGAGATGTTTCAGTTCTTCTGTTGTAGTTTCGTTGGTCTTCGTAAGATTTTGGAGACTTGATTGCGAAAGAAAAAGGTTTCTTGCGTTAGAAAGTATAAATGAGAAGTTAAAAACGTAATACAGTTAAATCAATATCAAGTTCGTCTCTCGGCCATGTCAGTTTTATCTCAACGACATACTTTTATACTTACTCCTCTTCCAGTTTTTCTTTTTCCTTTATCAGAGAGGAAAGTTGTATTTCTAGCCCGTCTAATATTTTCCTTTGCTCCTTTTTCATCTCAAGATTACACTCTTTCAGTATTTGGTTCTCTTGCTGGACACTCTCAAACTGTGACTGAATGGCTTGACGTTCTTCTTCAGTCCTCTTACACTCTTGCTAAAGTGCATCCCGAAACAGAACGTTACAGAGTCCAAATGAAACGCGAAATGTTTTAAAAGAATAATTTTGTCAATAGCTTTTTGTTTTCGCTTTCCCATAACTTTAGATGGTATTTTATGGAGGAGCCAGCATTTCACTTTCTCTCACCTTATTGAAAGATAACATGTCCTCTGTATTTTGAATTTGGACTTGTTGCGAGGTGATGATACTTTCAAATTTCTTCAGTTTATCTTGCAAGAGTGCTATAGAAGAATAGAAAAGAACCTGAGAAGTTAAAATTTGAAGGGCGGCACTGCATTCTAAGAATGAAAGGAAATGTATATCTATTTCTATTTCATTAGAAAAGTGAATGTAAAGTTTAATTTCATAATTTATTATATTAACGTAACAAATTACCTAGCTCATGCTCGAAAGAAGTAGATTCCTCTTTGCTCTTTTCTAAAGCTGCCTCCATGGTGGAAATTTGGTTCTCCTTTGTTTTCTTGTCAGTTTCGAGGAGTCGTATCTGCGCAAGTTTAAGGATGATTATACGAATCAACTATAAATTGTATTACATGTAGTTTCCTACATAAATGCCCACCAAAAGAAGTACGGTTTTTTAATCAGTTGAACACGTATTGTAGAATGAAAGGTGAGTAAATGAGTACCATCGCATTGGTACCTGATTATCTGCTTTCTGGAGGTTTTCTGTATATTCCATGACGAAGTCTTCGTGCTCTTTTTTCCGCTCATTCACTGAAAGAACATCATAGTGTAGGCGAGTTGGATGGATGGATGGGTTAGATGACCATTCCCCTTGGGGCTTTTCAGGGCCATTCTTACAACACTGTGCGGGGGACTTTGCCAGACTGCTTGTAGCAGTTTACAACGAATCAAAGGAAGTTGAGGATGCCCATTCCCCCCAATTCCCAGTAAATAGGCCAGACCACATCACAGTAATCTCGTGCGTGGGTTCTTTAACGTCCCCTGCCTAACCTTATTAACCAACCAATAGATGCAGGAGACGGGACCTACAGTTTATTCGTCCTTATCCGAGAAGACTAAAATGTCTATAAATTTCATGATATTATAGAAAGGTAGCACATTCTCCTCAGTTATTTTAAGACCTTGAGTATTGGTCCGGCCGGGGCTCGAACTCTCGACCTCCCGCACAAAAGTCCGGCGCTCTAACCAATTGAGCTAACCGGGAGGCGGTTAGTTCAGTAACAGACATCTAAAAGAACCCATCGGTTGGTAAACAGACAAAATTTTCATAAACGCTTACTTTTTTCTTTCATTTCATTGAACTTTGCTGTGTGTTCAATTTGTAGATCCTGAAATTTAATGACCATTTCCTGACAAAAAAAAAGGTATGCTAGGTTACTGTGACTGATTCAATATGTACTTTTGCAGCTAAACTCGTTGTTATAACATTTGGTCGTTATGGATAAAACAACAGCTACGAATTTCGTATCACCTGAAATTGCCCAATACGCTTTTTATCTTCAAATCTGAGTTCGTCGCGATCAGCTTCTCCTGCGTGGGTCAAAAACGGCATTTATTATATGTTGTTAAATAGTTCTAACTACTCACCTTCAGTGGAGATTCAGATTCGGAAATTCGACACATACCTACCTTTAAGAATATTTTCCTCCACCTTCGCCACGTGATCTTTCAGTACATTGCACATATCTCTAGTAGAAACGATTCTAAAGGGAAAAAATACATTTACATGTGTAATGCATTAACGTAAATGTCGATAAGATGGATTCCAGTCTTTTAGATCGCAGAAATAGATAACATTCATTGTCAACAGCATTTAGTTTTCTACTCTTAACTCGGATTTGCAGTATTGTATTCCGCTGTCCGTCTTCATCCGCTAGTAGAATAACTGTACAGAAACTATTGATATTGTCGCTATTATCATTATCATCAATTCAAACTTCATAGTGATGTGTTTATTTACTTGTGTTCCACTTCCTCTCGATTTGCAAGCTCTTCCTGAAGTTTTGAACTGAGGCTTTCATTTTGAAACTGTAAACACAAATTAAAATAAAGCTAAGTATAAAAGAGATCATGGCAAAAAGTTACTATAACAGACAATTAGTTTCTTAAGTCATAAAGTTATCCCGGCGCTTGCCATTATAGGCAACAGGAAAAAAAATTTGATTATGGCGTGATAGCAAAATGGTATTCGTGTAAGTATAAATAATGGTATTCACATAAATAATGATCAGTATTTTTGTTCCATCTGTTCGTTTATTTCTTGTGATCGCCATTCAAGGTAAGAGTACTAGAAAGGTCCCTCTCATTATCATTGAAGTTGATTATGGGTGGACCATACAGAGGCCGGAGAAAAACTTTCTTAAAAACTTGTTATTAGTATCCCAGCATAAAAAGTCAGACGTATTCCTTCTAGAAAAATGCGATTCTTCAGCTGAACAATGCTTGTTTGACTTGCTTGTAAAGCTTTCGTATAACTTTTAGACGTCTTGGCTGTCCATTTCAGTTAACAGTAGTTAAGGTGCAAGTCAATAGATTTGCAAATTCTTGTACATTCCAGCGAAATATTTGAGAGTTTTACTGTAATATAATCCACTGAATTTTGCACGATTGAATATAGTCGAAAAGGAGGGCAATAAACTGGTGATAGCAAGATTTATTGAATTAACGTGCTAATTAACTTGCTTTCTACTTCCGAAATGGTTGCCTATGACAAAATAAATGAAGAAATTTATCTAAAAAATTATTTTCAATATCGAGTTTTATTCTTAAATACTAGAATAAAGTAAAAAACAAATAAGGGTACCTGTAAATCAAGAATTGACTTCCTCTGAGAGTCAATGGTTTGTACAGCTTCCAGTAACTTTTTCTCCTACGTATTGAAATATACAACTTGACACAATGGTAATGTATCCACGGTTTGAGAAACATCGTGAGTGTGAACAGCATGAATTTACCTTTTCTTTTATTTCTATCTCTGTGGATGTTTTCCATTTTCTAATTTTGTCTGCTTCTTGATGAAGACGGGTGTGAAGGGAATGAATTCGTTCAGCTGATTGCGTTCTGTCTTTTTCCAATTTCTCTGCCTCTGAAATATTACCATTATTTCACTAGTAATGTATCACTTCATAAATAAAGGAAATTTACCAAATACACAAATAATTCCGAGTTATAAGTTATAAGTAATTGTATTATGTTAGGCTTATAGCTTACTCCAACTTTTCATAATGTAGCTAAGCTTATTTCGATTTGTTTGATTTTGTTTTGTTGGTTTTTTTTATGAGAATTCGCGTCATCGTGATGAATTAAAGTTATAGCAGATTTACGTACCTTTTTCCTTCTGTCTTGGGGATTTTGGGCGAAAATAGCTGTTGGAGGGTGAGTTCATGGGTCGGATATTTAACAGATGTCCATGATATGGAGATTTATTGAAATTTGGGCTCAGACATGGCGATGGCGAGGCTGTTGCTTGATGAGTGTGAGATTGAGGAATCGAGTTTGTAGTCAGCTTGAATAATGGCTGCTGAATGTGATGCTTCAGTTGACTGTGAGCATGAGACTGCATTTCGTTAACGTCACCTATGTACGGAGAGAAGAAAGAGCATTTTCCTACAATTAAAAATCCACAAATGGCAAAATAAATGATCGAGGTTCGTTTCATTTACGATAAAATATAATTTTTTTGGATAATCTCATTTTCCCGCCAATTTGGCAGGTTGCAAGCGCCTCGTTGCTGTGCTATATTCAAACCCAGTTTCCTCTGTCATGACAATTCTTATCACGTGATATGGTTAAATGATGACGTTTCCAAACTTCTCTCGGAAGAGGAAAATGGCGGATGCGATTGCTGGTCCGAAAGACATTACCACAATATTCAAACGTTTGAAATCTCAACCCGACAATAAGGTTAAGATTTAACTTCATTATCATTTTATTCTATTATTTAGGTACTTTTTCCTTAAATCTAAAAGGTTTTCTTCGTTTTCAGACTTGCTTTGATTGCGGACACAGCAATCCAACGTGGGCATCGGTAACTTACGGTGTATTTCTATGTATCGACTGCTCCGCTGTTCACAGATCACTCGGTGTTCACTTAACCTTTATTAGGTAAATAAAAATACATTGCATCAATTTTTAGATGAATCTCTTTTTATAGTGAGCTATCGGCCTGAGAAAACCGAGTGGAATGGTCGTCAAACGGAGATCTTCGAAACGACTTCTTGCATGCGAAATTCCTTTTCGAATGATTTGTTCATTTGGTAACACGCTACGAGTTAGACTTAAACATCCGATCTCGTCTTTCATGTATTAAAGATCTACCCAGCTGGACACGAACTGGACATGGCTACAACTGAGGGCAATGCAAGTTGGCGGAAACGCCAAAGCGGTAAGATAGAGAAAGACGTTGTTGATCAGTTGGTGAGGGTGTGAATCAGACTTGCCTTGGCGTAAGACATGACTAATCAAGTTATTTAAACGCCATTCATTCTTTATGTTGATCGTCGGAATTTCATCGTTAAATCAGGGTTTTGATAGTAGTTTTACCTGCGTGATTCAGTTGTTTTACGAAAAAAAAATTAGTGGAAGCAACCCCAGATAATTACGTGATACAGTGTGGTTCGATTGTTAGTGTCGATTGCTTTGATTCAGGGTATGATTATGAAGGATAAAGACTCCGCTCCAAGCACTTCACTTGATTTTTACATTTTCCTAGTGAAACATAGTTACAACTAGCTCTTCAAAGCCAGTTAGAATTGAATTTCAAATTTTCAGTTCGAAAAGTTTATTCATTCATGATCAGTTTATTCGAAAGACCTGTTGACTAGTGAAAGGGTTAAATATTAATTTTCGCTTTTGCTTACAAATAGTTTTTGATAGACTGGGATAGTTTTTGAAGGACAGAGTTTAAAACAGTAAATATCATTGAATGTTTCCACAGAGAAGGTCTTTAAGTGATGATAAAGTTTATTTGGCTATCACAACACTTCAAGAATAAAACATTTATCTTAACCCCCAGCCAGTTTTACTTAAATGGTTTCTGAGATAAGAAAGCAGCCTTTGTAAGTCTTTTGAATGGGAGAAATTTACAGCTAATTTTTGACAACACTCACAACAATAACTTGAAGATAAAGTTTACCAAATCAACGATATTAAACCATAGCATTTGTCTATGTGTATTAATGGCCAAACCAAAACATTGCACTTACAGCTGTAACATTTTGTGTCAGACTTCTTTACAATATATGAATGAAGCTTTTTTCAGTCAGAGTAGATATTGTCTCTGAGAGGCTTGATTGTTTTTTATCTTTTTAGTAATATCATTTTCAAAAAGTCCACAGTGGTCTATGAGTGTTTTCAAAATGTTTTCTAATTGTGATGAAACAAACAAGGCAATTTGTCCCAAATATATCAGTGTAACTTCTGCCTGAAGTAAAGCCTGACTTTTTTTTTTCAGTGTTGTCTTATGGAAGAGACTGGTCTCCACAATGATGTTCACACTTGGGTCTTGGTTAATCTTGCGTGTATGTTATAGGTAGCTTTGGCGAGGATTTTAAATTTCTTCCTAAAGATGTTTAATTTTGTTATACCTAGAATGCCTTCTTCAGACAACATGGTCTCTCAACTGAAGATACATCTGCTAAATACAAAAGGTAAATCAAAGATAAAAGAGAGGTAAACTGGTTTGGCATGAGATGTGGATTACTAAGCAATAAATCAGCTTTTACTCTGTAGGGAGTCCTATTGTAAGTGCAAAGTCAAAAGGGACATCTGGAGAACTTCTCTCAAAGGGAAAATCTAAAGGCACATTTAAATATCTTATTAATTAAATATGAGTTGAATTTTAGTCAAACTACACTACCACTCAAAAGTAAGTTGATAGTCCCTTGAAACTCAGTCCTAGACTCTCAATTCTTGAAACTTTGAGGTTTCATGTGCGAGCTGAGTTTCAGGACTTTTGAGTTGGGTTTCAAGACATTTGAAATTAATTTCAAGGGTCCTGAGACAAGGAAACAAAGGAATTATTGTGCAATTAATTTTTCACATTAGTTGATGCCTCCCAGCATGCATTTTTGTAGAGATGGTGAAACTTTGCTCAAATTAGTTCTGATGTTTTTTACAATAACCTTGCAAATTATCATTTTCACTGTATTTGAGTCAAAAGTCAAAAGGAACATACATTAAGTTTTAGTTGAATTTTTGTTAATTACATGTATCTCAACCACTGAAAAATATCAGTATGGCAATAAGAAGTAACTTTTCCCATTATCCTCCAAGAGCTACTGATCATCAAATTTTTGTTCAATATGATTTTGTTACAGTTTATATCATTATTTGTCAGTTAGAAAGTACATTTTATAGATTACATGTAGCTTATGAGTTTATTGCATTTGTGTTTACCAATTGCTGTGGTTCACTTAGTGAAGTTGTTAGTCCTTTAAATAAGCTCATTTGGCGAAAAGCAAACCTGCTCTATTTAATAAGAAATGATGAAGATCCTTGATGTAAGTGCATTTGTATTCCTATTTTCTTTCCTGCAGCCGGGTGGCTGCGATGTACAGAGAAAAAATTGCAACATTAGCAACAAGGGCCTTACAACAATATGGAACCCAGGTGAGGGAAGGCATTTTTTAAATGTTTCGTAGTTTTTATGTTGTGTAAATGTTCCCTCAAACTGTATACATATTCTTGGAAGTTTCATTTACATTTTCATCCTACTTCAGACACTTTTGGACAGTCACCATGGACCCCAGTCACCCAACTCTCCTGATCGTAAAGAACAAGATTTCTTCAAGGAAGTAGAGAGTCAGTCTTTTCAACAGACAGTTATGATACCAACAAACGGAAAAAATGGAAACAACTCTGGTAACTAAAAAATGTGTATTGAATTGGTAAATGTATAATGAGTAAACACTATCAAACTATTATTTGATGAAAAGGCCTCTGTAACTTCAACTTGTCTAATCTCATTTTGTTAGGGAATGATTTGAACAAGAACATGGAAGATCTCAGTGTTTCACCTCCAAAGCAGCAAGGTTTGTGTCATGCTAACTACTTCGGATACAGTGTAATATGGATTTACTGCTCTTCTTTTAACAAAAACAGTCAACAGCGTAATAACTCAGGAAAGAGCTTCAAGAATGCTCACGCATTTTAATTGTGCACATTTATGAAATTTCAATTGTGGTTCGGTAGCACAGATAGGACTCCAAACTAAAATGTACCTGTAAATATCTTCTCCTTTTCAGAAACCCGTGTACCTACAATAGGAACAAGGAAGCCTGTTACAGCCAAAAAGAAAGGGGTGAGTTGTCCTTTTCTTGTGTTCACTTTTGTATTGCAGAGATTTTTACCACCAAATATTGTGTCAGCGCATTTTCACCAATCTTTTAGTTTCCTGCAAGTTCAATGTGTTGCTGTTTGAATATGAGCTTGTTACCAACTTGTAGATTCTCTTGGCTAAAAATGAATCCAATTAAGTGGGTAAAGAGGTCCTCCTTGATCACAGATCAAAACAAAGTGATGTTCCTTTATGGTGGCTCACTCATTGTCATCTCTGTTTTACTGTTTGTTACAGTTCCAAATACCTTTGTTTGTGTCAAGTGTTTTCTATCTTTTTTGACAATCAGTTTTTTTACTTTGCTTTTACCTCATAGCTTGGAGCCAAGAAGGGTGGACTGGGAGCAACAAAGGTTTGTTTCTGAAGCACTTATTTTTGTTATCTTAATATTAAATTAAATTCACCTAATATGTGATTTACAAGAAATGTGTAGCTGTTTACTGGGAGAGTTAACAATCAGAATGTCTGAGTTACTGGGTTGGTATCCAGTCAATTCACCACCACTACAAACTCACCACCACAAAAATCACCACCACTACAAACTCACCACCACAAAACTCACCAACGCTACAAACTCACCACCACTACAAACTCACCACCACAAAACTCACCACCACTACAAACTCACCATCACAAAACTCACCACCACTACAAACTCACCACCACAAAACTCACCACCACAAAACTCACCACCACTACAAACTCACCACCACAAAACTCACCACCACTACAAACTCACCACCACAAAACTCACCATCACTCAAAGTCAATGGAAGCTAAGATGTAGTAGTACATTGCAAAAAGGGAAAGGGACTCAGAAGTTTGGTGTAGCATCTCAATAATGGAACGTGAAATGAAAGAAAGTATGTTTCACAAAGATTATGATCAGTTTGCAAACAATGAAATCAGAGTGTTATTTGCTGAGTGATTTTCAGTAAGTGATTTCCACCAATATGAATGAAATCATATGAAACTTACAACATAAAAATGCTAAGAAGTCAAAGTATATACTGCAAAATTAAAAGCTCTTATAAATACAACAAAGTTTACTCAAACAGACTTTGGCATCCTTTCTTTGTTTGGTAAACCCTTTGTTTCAAGCACAAAGAGTGTCAAGGTGAGCTTTAACACGAGTTTTGTTCTTATGAACAAACTGATCATAATCTTTGTGAAACATGTTTTATTTCGTTTATTATTCCATTATTGAGATGCTACTCCTAATTTCTGAGTCCCTTTTCCTTTCCACAATGTACTTCTACATCCTAGCTTTCATTTGATATAAGTTTGACATGAGAGGCTACACATTAACAAAAGGTCAATTTGCTCTTCTTGGAGGTCTGAATCCTCAAGAAAAAGATTTTCTTTTGTCTTTACTTTTGATATAATTTTTGTTTGCAAAGGTGAAAACAAACTTCAATGAACTGGAGTCAAAAGCCCAGCAGCTTGACAAAGACAAGGAAAAAGCAGCACTTACGAATGCTAAGGAAGCAGAAGCAGAACTTGTTTCTCCAAACCTTGCATACAACCCTGTCAACTTTAAGAAAGAGGAGGATAAGCTTCGCCAGTCTGATCCGAAAAAGGCTGCCCAGCTGGAGCGCCTTGGAATGGGTGTCAGTGGAAGCAAGAAAGGGACAACAACTCCTGGTAGAGGTCACTCCGCTTCAGCTGCTATGGCAACTGTTGAACAAGTGAAGCCTTCTAAGACACAGCCATCTTTTGCAGACAAACTTAGGGTGTCTTCAAACTCAAATATGGATTTCTTTGATAGGTAATATCCCAAGATAAATATTCAATTCTACCCACTTCCAGTTGATACTCTTTCCTGTCATTCTACTTGCTTTAGTGATAGTACCGTAATTTCCAGCCGTTTACCCACAGGTAATCTGTTGATTTTGCCTTAAACACATGCCACTGCGGGTAATCGGGAGGTGTGGGTTATGTGACAATTTTGAAATCTACTTGCTGTTGAATTGAAGAAAATTCTCACCTACCTGCGTTTCCACCTCTCAGATGAATTGTATTGTATTAAGAGTGCCACAAAGCAGCACTAAACATGATGCCGACTCGAGTTTATTTCATGCACAATTAGTTACGCGAAGAACAAATTGCTATCGGCACGCGTGTAAACAAAACCTTGATGGTGACAAAAATAAACCGAGGATAAACCGGTGCATCAGTAACAATTTTCCAGTTAACACTAGCTTTAGCTGAAGAGAATTTTCCCATTTTAAGGGACTTGTTAGGCCCAGTGGAACCAGAGATATCGATTTTTTTTTAGAAATCATCATGGAGCCAAACGATCGTTTGGACAAAATGTGGCCACAAATTCACATTCTGTCAAGTATGCAATGTTGTGAATTCTAGAGCATATTTGTACAAATTTCCTTTGTTTTTAAGGTGCGGGTAATCTGTTGACTTATTTTTTTGCTGCATGCAATAATTGGCCGAAGCGGGTAATCGGCCACGCAGGTAAACGGCCGGAAATTACGGTAGTGGTTAGCTAGACCTGCAACAATGAATTTATTTGTAATACGGCTGAATGCATAAATATGGCATGGAAAGTTTTAAACATTTACAGGATAAGTAATGCTTTGTAAAGAAAAATATGTGGGTGAAAAACTGAGTGTTAAAGGTGATAATCATTAGAGTTGACCTATGTTCACTGTTAAATACATGAATTACATACATACATACATACATAAAGTGTGACTTGATTTTTGTAGAACAGTGCTCAATACATAGAAGTAGAGCGAATCCCCTGATGAGTGGGCGACCACGAAACAGGCTTGTAGGGATGAATATGTAGTTTTTTTTTTCTGCCTATAAATATATATATATATATAAAGTGTGACTTGATTTTTGTAGAACAGTGCTCAATACATAGAAGTAGTGTAGTTTACTTGTCTTTTTCCTCCCACAATATATATATATATATACATACATACATACGTTAGTTGACCACTCCCCATGGGGGCTTTTCAGGGTCAATTCCCACCCATCCCACCCAGGGGAGGACATCCACGACACAGTAATCTAGTGCGTGGAAAATTAATGTCTCCTACCCCTAACCCTGCAGGAGATGGGGCCTATGGTTTATTCGTCCTTATCCGAGAAGACTAGAACATCTATCCATTTCTTGATTGTAGAAGGGTAGCAAATAATTCTCCTCACTTATTTTTAAGACCATGTGTATTGGTCCGGCTGGGGCTCAAACCCTTGACCTCCTGCACAACACAATCCAGCGCTCTAACCAATTGAGCTAACCGGGAGGCGGTTAACTCAATTGGTTTGAATTCAATTGAATTCATTTTGGAATAAGAGAATGATGTACATGTATAAATACATGTAGGTTACAAATTGTTTCTCTACACTTAGCCAAGACACTTTTTCTCCTTCTAAATGTAGCTATGGAATGGATGGCACAAGTTTCACAGAACCACCTCCATTGTAAGTTTTGTACAGAGTAAAGTTGTACACAGTAATTGAGACCACAGTAATTGGTATCGCCATTGAGGTTGCCTGCCTGTTATTATTATTGTAATATGTCCGTGTTCTATTTTGTATGTATTGTTGGCAAAGCTAATAAATTAAATTAAATTACACCTTGGAAATTGCATTCCTTTAACCAGTGCCACCCACTTAGCCCATGGTTTTATGGATCTGCTTGCAGCTGAAAAATAATGATATTAGCTGGACCTCGATAATGGGTTGTTCTTTTTATTTTCTTCAACAACATAACTGGTTACTTTTTTCGGTGGGGTTAGGTACGATAGTCCATTTGGATCAACTGCCTGGGACAGAGGTCGCGATAGGTATGTTAGATATGATGAGCATGCTTCCACTTTGTACATTTGTAGCTCTTACGAGAAAGTGTGTGGATTAGAGGAACTGAAGAGCTAATTTTACTTTACATGAAAATTTTTAAATGTTCTTTGAACCCATTAAATACTTTAAGAGTGGTTATTCGTGTAACCAGTCACAAAAATATCAATCCACCATTCATAGTATCCTTGTTATTACTATGTGATTACTTCCTACATGTTTTAGTTCTGTGTATCTCATGTTGGATCGGCTGAAATCTTCACAGAGCAAGAATGTCCCAGAAATACATGTACATGTATTTTTAGCAGTCAGGGTACTCTGACTCTGAGAAAGACTCTACAGGATCATTTACTAACAGATCTTTCAGAGACAGTGGTGAACATTACAAAGTAATTGAAAATGGTTATAATATTGAATGAAATTGATTGTTTTATACCAGCACAGCCTGGGCTGGTGATCATCTGTTCATAAATACTGTAATTAGTTTGCAAACAGTTCATTTTAAAATAGCCAGTATTGGGTTATCAATCATACTTTATTTGTGTCTTGCACTTCTTAGAGATGAAATAGGTTCATCTTTCTCTAGTGAGAGGCGTTCCAGTCGTGAAGAAAGGTGATTAAAAGTCTTGTTTATTATCACTTGAATATTTGTAATTTTTATTTTATTTTCATCTTTTATTTTGCCTCATTGAGTCTTACTCACTTGAGTTTTACAGCCAATAACATCACGGCAAAACCAACCGATCATTTCACACGAACTAGTATAAGAACATTCCACTGACAACAATCATTCACTTGACTCTGATGATGACTTCGGCACAGGTTGTCGAAACGTCAGTCACTACCACCGACAACAGTCCTTCTCAGGACTACACTCACCCGGACGATCAGACTACACCTTCACACAATTCTGAAATTATTTACCAACTGGTATATGTGATTAAGAGGAAACTTTCTTCTGAAATTTAAGGAAAATTTTGGAACTTCAAGCCATTTTTAATTATATTTTGAAGGTTAAACAGAAAAAGAGATCCAGAGCCTGTAAATGTGTCATCAACAGGTAAAAGTTATGGTCATTTTACTTTGGTGTCAGTTGTTGACTGAGCATTACATTGCTAACATCTATTCTTAACATGCAGATGAAGTCCGAAGAAAGTTTGGAAATTCTAAGAGCATTTCATCAACACAGTTCTTTGGCAATGACCAGGTATGATGAAGTAGCGATCTTTAAGGTGACGTCCATCATGTTTTGGAAGAGTCATTTCCTCAGTGCACCATAGTGCAATTCTGTGTGCAAGTTGGTCATTAGAGACTTAAATACACAATTTACACTGTGTACATGGTTTAGAAGTTGAACTTTGAGTAACCAATTATCATATACTGTAAATGTAGCCCCATGAGATAAATGCTGGAACTGAGTGATTCTAAAGCTTTTTGTGTGTGTCTTCGTTTTTCATGGTATTGTAGGAAGAGTATGCTATAAAGTCTCGATTGGATCGTTTTCAAGGATCTAACAGTCTTTCAAGTGCAGACCTCTTTGGGGATGATGATGATGGCAGACCTCGGTCAAGTAAGAAATCTTGTTGTGATGAAATGTAGGGACAAATATTAGTTTATAAAATTGACTGAATGCACATGTAATTTACTTTTGTAAAAAACTAAGGGCAGACTTAGAGACTATTGTAATTAATATTTAATAATAACTTAATGTTTATATAGCACAAATTAACAGTTGGATATGATCAAATGTTGTCACTTAAAGTTGCTAAAACTAACCTGGAAATGTCTACATGTACATGAATGCACCCAACAATGTGAATTAGAGCTTACTTTTACATGCATTGGTCTATATTACAGGAGCTGGTAAATACTAATTATTTTGAATGCATGGAGATCACTTTCCTATTAATTTGGTAGGGTTGTAGTTTGTTACTAATCTTTTCCTTACAGTAGTACTCATGATTATTTGGCCAAATGAACCATGGTACGCATTTTATTTTTACTTCTTCTTCTCTCAGATGCCTCTGGCAGTTTTTCATCTGCAGATCTTTCACAGCTGAAAGACGGAGTAGCTAGAGTGACTGGAAAGGTAAGAATACTATTTATCTTAAGATACTGTGACATATCAAAAGCCCCATGATGAAAGAACAAGGGATTTTTTTGTCAAGAGATTAGGAACATAATGGAAGAAAGTTTATACAAATAAACAGATATAATGAATGTTGAGTAAATTAATATACCAGATACTATTAATACCAGGTTATGGTAGTAGTACTTTTGTACTATTAATGATAATGATGACAATGATAATAACAATAATAATGTATATGAGAACGATCCTTCTCATATACGTCTCATAACCGCAGTTCACACATATGTTTCATATGTTTGTTGTTGTTTAACAATAATAATGTTTACAGATTTAAGTAAAATAAGAGTACCCTAATAATTACATACAGATTAATTACTTGTTCTTTAAGAATTTTGATGCTAACTGCAGACTTACTTGACAGTAAGTATTTTTGTTGACTGTGACATTCTGATTCTTGTTACAGTTGTCAAGTATGGCTTCAGGAATGATAGGAACACTACAGGTAAATGTTGCAATCAGTTCTCAACACATATGCAGTATTGACTAAGTGTGACGCCAAGATGACTGGATATTGGTACACACACAAGGAATGAGACTAATATCCAGAAATCTGGACCAAACAAGCTTGGTCAGTAAAGCATATTATGTATAGCAAGGCGATTTTGCTTTTATGTGAATCAAGAATGATTGTTTATTTTTTTAGGCTCTTAGAAAGAAAGCCAACTGATAAAGATGGCATGTGCATACTTTTCATTTTTCAAATAGAGAAGGAACATGATTTGACAAGTTTACAGTAATGATGAGTAAATATAAAAAATTTCAGTTTAATTGAAAAAGCTGTACAAACTTCTATTATAATGATAATTTTATTTCTTATTTGGGATCAAAGTAGGCAATCCTGAGCTGGCTAATATATAAACCTTTGACCAATAGTGATGATCAATAAGGGTACTGTAATGGGTTTCTCTCAACAAAGCTATACTATTATTAGCAGCCAGTTGATACAAATGAATTGAATAATCAACAGATTGACATTGCTCTGATATCACTCAGCCAAATTTCTTAGATGAATTACAGGAATATGTGGAAATTAGACAAAAAAATGGCTGACAGATCTAAGGGGCAATTGAGTTAAAGTACAACACAATACTTTAGTACCACTAAGTTCCAAAAGTAACCACAGTGACAGAATAGCATAAGATCATGGAAGAGTAGACATAATTTTTGTCACCCAGTGAAACACAAAGCAGGTATAAGCATAAGCGGTCATGAGATACTCAGCTGGAAGACTTAATCACATGCTTTTATTTTTAGATTACCTCAAGATTAGCATGCTAGTCTAATTACTTGCATCACTAAAGCAGTAGTTTCTGTATACAACTCTTTAGTTTGGTTTAAATAGAACAGAAACCACATATTAAGTCAGTGATGAGAATGTTAACTTTTCTTTTCTTTCATTTTTCAGAATCGTTACAGTGGGTCCAGTTGAAGATTGTTCCAATCTTTTGCAATTGACTAGGAGAATTTATCACCTAAGTTGATAATTGTATCAAAGAATGATAGAATTGGGAAAGTCATGATGCCAGAATCCTTCATTTGTGATAGTGTATTTATTTTGTTTATTGTTTTCCTTTGGTTTGGGGAGCTACCTGAATGATAAGTAGATTCTTTTAAAATGGTCTAGACTAAGTGCAATTTGTTGACTCTCTGGAGGAAATCTGTTTTCGGTGAGTTACATGATTCTGGGAATAGCAATCCTTGCAGTTTTCAGCTACAACAAACAAGCTATAGATAGAAGAATTTAAAAAGAAAATTGTTTCATTAAATTCCCTTGTGATGAGAATATTATTATGAAAGCAGATTGAATTGAATGATAAGTTGCCCTGTGAAGATTTCCAGGAACCTTTTTCTTTCAAAAGCAAATTATATCGTTCTGCCTTATGGTATAATTCAGATGATGATGTCACCCAGGGAAGCAAATTAATTGAAAAGGGAAAACAAAACTATTTTAAACGTTCTTAAAACTTTTTAGTTATAAGAACTCTGTTAAGAAAATCAGGTAGCATTCAGTAATACATAAAATAAATTGAACTTACAGATGAGTGTAGTTGCTATTTTCAATTTTTTTTCTTGAATTCATCATCAATGAAAATCCAGTCACACTAACTGAACTTGGTTTGAAAAAGGAGTTCTAAAAAATATATATATTGATAAGATCACTTTCCTGAAATGAATCTGAATGATCTCTTGTTTAAGATTAATTCCTTCACCTCCAAAAAAATTTAAAAATTAGTTATGTACTGAGGGAATAAAAAACATTCAGACACCTACCATAGCCAATTAGCAAGCATAATGTAGTTTGTAGGTTGTGGTTAGTTAAAATAGCCTACTAACTGGAAGTGTTGTAATACATATTCCATTGGCAGTATTCACACACCATACAAAACTGTTTAAATTCCAAAAATTTTCTTATCTCAATCAGGCTTTTGAGATGTGTTGAAAGGTGTTTAATTGAACTGTACAAATTGTTTACGTGTTGATCACTGATTGGCCCATGAGAGGTTCTCAGTCAGTGGACAGATCCAGTAGAGGCAGCAAACAAAATAAAGTGTGGTTTTCCGCTGGCTGAGGGACGAAAGAAGCAAAAAACGTTTTTCTCACATGCAGCTGGGAGAATGGGTTCGAGTGTGTGGGGCATCTCCAGGTCACATGGCATTTCAAGGTTCAGTTGTTTTGTTGCCTTCTGCCATTGCCTGACCTTCCCCACCCACCCTCCATATGTTTTTAGGGATATAGGATTTCAAGTAGTGCCTTAGTTCCAGTTATTCGTGCATGTCAATCTTCTGTATCTAGGATCAGTTTCAGCTGTTTTGTTAGTGTTGTAACCCTAATGGTTCATCATGTTGATATAATAAAGTTTGGGCTGCATGATTGGCTTAGCATGGCTCCCAGTTGTGTGTGAGAAGAGGTAATGTCTACCACCCTCTTCCAGAAGTATTCCACTTTTCAGTAGTCCGTGTCTTTGACTCTTTTTACTGGGTGAGAGCCTCTTACAGGGTAATTGTTTAATTTTAAACAGTTTTTACTTTGCAAAACAGGTTTTGGTCATAAAACTGTCAGTGCACTTTACCGAGGAATAAGAATTTAAAGTACAGTGTGTAGATGAATAGTTCATTTTTCAATCCAAGACAGTATCTTGATATTTTACTTCTTTTAGTTTGCATCAATATATGTCATTCATAGCTTAGAAAATTAGCAAATTGATGTTTGGAAAAAATAGAATGAGATGAAAGAATATTTTTCAAATTTAAAGGTATTCTGTACATGTGGAGGGATCTCTTTTGCTTGTTTTGTTCTTAAAACCTATAGTAGTGTTGCCATTCAATACAATACTCGCTACTGGTATCATTATGATACTTGCTACAGCTCATGTTGATGCAGACACTAAACCAATTTATGACCTTGTAAATCTGCAAAGTGCTGTGATTGGAGAGCTTGGTGAAATACTGTTTTCATATGTCCTTTTGGGATGCCTTCTCAGCCTGCAATGACAGTGTTACTGTTTTGTCTTCTTAAAATTAAACTATTTTATTATCTGGTTTCTTGTTTTGTGAATTGTATTGTTTCTTTTGTGATTTCCTGTCATTTTATCATTTGCCTTTCTCTTCTTCTTTAGACTAGAGCGTAGAAACAACTTTAAATACCTTAATGGGTGTCCCTTATCTTGAGCCCTCTTTTTTGGAAAAAGTAAAAAAGATTGAAGGAAGGGACAACTGACCCAGTCTGACCAATTAATTCTAGAATAAACCCTGACTATGTTATTTGGGGCCAGTACAAAGCTATAAAAGAAGTAAAAAAAGTGAATCTAAACAATGCTTTGATAACAAAAATGTGGTACATGCAAAGGAAGAGGTTGGAGAAGGGCACGTCATGGGTAGAAAGAAAAATAATTAAACCAATGCAAGGTGAAAAAGGGGTATTCTTGGAAAATTCAAGAAGGGTTAACAGCATGCCTATAGTTTTTGAGAAATTTTCCCACTTAAAGGGAGCGGAAAAGGAGAGAATTACAGGATTCTTTACTCTACGGAATTTCAGTTCTGAAGCGGCCAAGAATCTCGCCTATTTGAGTATAGCGAGAGGTTATGGACACCTCATGTTTCTTACATTACAATTGCTACTGCTTTTCAGGTGTAAGTCAAGTCGGCACGCTAGGGTCTTCCCTTGCGCCATGGTATTTTGTTGCAGGTAGTTCTCAGGGTTTGAAATGTAAAGACGATTTACGGTAATGGGAAACTGTTACGATTGCTTTAGCCCACAACCAGAGGTTGAAACCCCGGATCCGGTAAGTGAAAAACGTTTAATTCTCGAGAGATTTGTAGCTTGGCCTATTTTATATTAAGGTTGCCTCAATAAAATTCTGTTCAGTAAAATTGTGAGGGCTTTCAAGCAGATATAGACAGAAAAAATTTTTTTTCTTTGAGTGCTATTTTGTGTGAATGTAGTTTTGAAACCGTGGAAGACATTGCTGATAAGTATTTGATTTACAGGAAACTAGAAGAAGACAGCAAGAGGAGGCTGCGTTGAAGCGACAGCAGCAAGTAAGACCTAACAATTAATTCATATTATGCAAGCATATGTCATTCTCTTACCACGGAAGAAGCTTAAATAATGTGCTTCATTGTTAGGTATTTCTCACTGACGGGGAAGGGGTGATCAGAATTCTCTGATTTAATACTGACTCCCACCTCCTGCACCTTATTCGATATCTTCTCCTGTCTCCTGCCTACTTTTCTTTCTGCCTCCTCCCTATCGACGCCTCCCCAGATCAGCTGATCATGACTGAAAGAAACCACCATTTTCTGCCTCATTCTCCTGAGAAAAGGGCTTAATACCGGGTTTTTAATGACCATGTGAAGCACTTGCCTAGACATACCACTTACAGGTAATGATATCTCAGTTCCCTCCCTGGGATTATCGTTTGAGTAAAATTAGCCATTTTTTTCATGAGAACGAATTCGTAGGTACATTTACATTCATACCTAAAGAGGGCTTCTCTCATTCTTAGGCGGACGGTCGTGGAGTTAAGGATCCAGAGAGACTCAAGAGACAACAGAAACGAAGAGAGGATGCCGAGAGGGAAGCTTTAAAGCAAGGTCCTTCAGAGGGAGGATTGAAGGTTAGCACACTTTGACAAGGACAAGGTCAACTTTTATATTTTATTACTCTTAGGATGGATGCCTTTTGTTTCAAGAGTGATTTGTGTGTAAAGGCAATTTGAAATGCTTGACTCGGTAAGCTTTGGTTTGAGGGGCCTAATCTAACAGGGTCAATGTTTCTTGGGTATGAGGCACCTGATGAGCTGGGTACTATTGGCATAGCGACCTTTGTGTACATATAGTCTGCATATATAGTCAGTGGTATATATATATGGGTAGAAATCTACAGCTGTAGAGCTGAAAATTATAGGCCCAGGAAAACCACCAAGGCCTGTTTTCACAGCTCTGCCACTCGAAATCTTCAAGCTGCACTGACAAACACACACACACACACACACAAAGACAACAAGACAGCTTCTTCATTTTTGTAAGTAAAGAGTATTGAAAAATGTGTTGAAATATCTCAAAGAATTCTGCATGGCCAGGTAGAGAAACTACCTTACACTTAAAGAAAAAAAATTAGTGGAGTTGCACTATCTGCTGAATCATTATGGGATATCTCATTACTTTTATGCATTCACGTTTTGTTTCAAATGTATTGTGGAGAAGATAATCAAATTAATCTGAGATAGCCATTTAAGAACCCATGATGCCATGTGCTTGGCAAATTCTTGATTGAAAAGTGATTAGGCAACTTTTAAGTTATGATTTAAATAAAGAGTGACAGCATATTTTAAATCTCATTCTTCATTTCTAATTGTGATCATTTCAATTTTTTTATGCAGTGGACTGTTGGATAACATTAGAAGCCTCCACTGTGCTCTGTTCCATTGAAACGCTTACATGAGGTGTTCTGAGGACAAGAGAAATGTTGTGGGAAACACTTGATGAGTCAAAGCAAAAACTATAAATTCAGCCAGCTTACCGTGCATCTGAATACTAACAAAATACACTTCTGCAACAAGTCAGATTTAGTTATTTTTATCAACTATTCACAGAAGTGGAGTTGGCTTGTGATAAATATTTACCAATCAAAGTGCTTGTTCAACACATTTCTCTGTTTTAGTGTATTCTACCAAAAGTTAATCATAATAGTTCATTATAAAGCACACACATCCACTAGTTGTTTGAGGCACTTTACAAAATTAATCTTGAAACCATAAAATTTACTCTAAAAAACGTAGAAAATAAAAGAAAATAGCATATGCTTAGGAACTAGAGGCTAAAAGACTAAAAATATGAGAAAGAGTTACTCTTAAATGACAAAGCTGTATTGGATTGTCTTATTTCCAATGGAATAGAGTTCGAAATTTTTGGAGCACATATAGAAAAAGCTTTATCACCATAAATTATGTTTTAGTTTTTACAGTTTGGCTGCATCGGCAGGTCTTGAAGGTTTGATTGTAGAGACCCAGTCAATTTCCAATGTTCCAAGAGTTCTGTTAGATATTGCAGGCAGAGACCATTCAATGGTTTAGACAAAAGGGTGCTTAAAACACGATTTGTTACAAGACAGGCAACCAATGGAGTTGTACTAAGGCGGGAGTAATATGGTTATATTACCTTGTTGCCGTGACATAATGAGATTTGCTTAGCATTGAGAAAGAATTCATTTATTTAAAGAGAACTCATTTAAAAATAACTCATATATTCCTGTTACTATAGTTACAAAATTTTCTGCGAAAATCTTGTGCATTGCCCGGAGGTGAATGGCAAAGGATATTCAGAGTTTGGGTGGCAATCAGAGTGCTCCTTCAACACTTTCCATTGTTTTAGTTATACTAACAAAATTTAATCACTGTAGGATAAGAATTTATTGCTTAGCATTAAAAAAGAACTCAGATCCACAAGTTACAGCTGCAGTTACTGTAGTAATTAAAATCCACTCAGAGTCAGTTGTCTGTCAATTTCCTCTTGCTAAAATGCGGTCTAATGGTTTTTTGGCGAAATGTGTTGATTTGCAAGTGACGGGAGGAGGTTTGAAACAGTGCTGTTGTGGTAGAAAACAAGAGAACAATACTATTTTCTCAAGAAGAAAGATAGGCTTGAATTTCCAGTCATGTATTAGCCCATATTTATGTTAGTCCAAAAACAGCTTGCCTACATAAATGGAAAACTCTTGCAAATAAAACATGAACTTCTAAAACTGGAGCAAATTTTATTTAAATTTTTTGAAACATTGCAACTATTTCAAAATATAAAACATCTTCACGCAACTAAACTCCACCGTTGTCTTGCTTGTACAGAGTATTGCAATTAAGATCAATCCCTGGTTAATTTTTGCTCACTTCCATCTATGAACAACAACATTTTGCTCTCTACAGCACAAAAAATTGCTGATCTGCAAAATACAATCCCACAAGATTTTCATACTCCACAGTATCTCATAATTGCAACTTACAATTTGAGTTGCATAAATTAAAATATCAGCCAGAGCATTACTGGCTTACAATGATTAATTAATCTTAACTTATCACCACTGATACCAGTATGTCACTCCTGTCTCTTAATTGTATAATTCTTCAAATTTGTTAATGAAATCCCTAAAGCAGTTTTCTTTATTTGAAAACCTCCTTTAGGCTTATGGAACAGTCAATCTGGTTTGATAATTATTCTTCTCTAGGTGGCAAACAGCTTGCTAGGCTACCAATATTTTCGCTTGCAGTACAAAGTTTTGTGGGAAATAGTTTACCCATCCCATGTAACAATATAGCATACATGGAATTCCTACTCCTGCTTAATTTTTTTAAAAAAAAAGCCCAACCCACAACCTTGACACAGTTCAAACAATTTATGACTGACATTTAAGAAAAATTTTGTGTCACATTGAATTTGTTCTAGGCACATGCTAAAATAACTAGCAAATACCAGATTTTTCCATTAGAAAAACTTATGTCAGAAGCCAGAATACTAAAGAAAGACCCTACGTACAAACTTTTACATTAAGCTATAAAAATCACAAATTTGTCTCATAAAAACATTTTAAGTTTCTTTCATTGGATCTGGATCCAACTACTGTACCAAGCTTTTATGTTGAGGCAGAGCATGGCATTTCAGGTATTTGATGGTGATGATGATGATGGGAACAGGCCTGGGGTGTCGCTGTGGAAACAAAATAATTATATGGCAATTTAAATTAATGAAATTTGTTCTCTGTCACGCCATGGACATGTGTTCTGAAAATTGATGAGTGTTCTGAAAATTGATGAATGTTCGGAGCAGGCATCAACTAAATTGTAAGAACAATGTTTGTAACTATGACTCCAGAGGCTGTCTTAATGGTCCATCATTTGACAGTCTCATTTCACAGCAGTTTCTGCATGTCTTATACATGATAATTCAGTGATCTATGCCCCTTATTTATGACCTTATCTGAACAATTGTAAGATTAGAAAGTTGCAATAATTTATAAGCCTTGTATGAATCAATACACCAGCTAACAGAAAATCAGCCTGAGAAAGAAAGAAAATGCTGATCTTGTACTATACTGAGAGTAACTTACATGTCAAAATTCTTCCTATCTTATTAGGATCATGGCGACTAATAAAGTGTTCCAATGTGTCCCATCCACCTCCAACTCTCACCATAACATGGTTCCTTAAAATCTTATGTCACAAGAAAACAAGGTTTCAATAAAAATTTACTCTTACAGTATGCAAATTTAAAATCTTGATCAAGTTAATTACCTTGTACAAAACAAGTCTGTTTATCAATTGAAATTAATTATCAAGTTCAGCAACAACATGGATAAATATTGTTTTAGACTTTCAATCTTTTCCTACTGCGATAAAGCACTGAATGCATTGATGCTCATGCATGAATTAATGTCTGCCCAGTTTCACTACTGGTATTCACAAACAATCCAGCCTGTCAAGACTGGTTGTTTGTAGATTCAATGCAATAATCAGTCTTAGCAAAAAGAAGATTGTTTTACATACATCAAATTATGTGCAGTCATGATTACTTACAGTACAGGTTTTATATCAGGTTCTGATCGAGATACTGTGAAAAGACTTGAAAAAAAATCTGTTGCATTTGAAATTTATGTTCCAGGTTAATGATAAAGTATTATCGTTTGTCTCACAATACAGTGACTTGTGATAAGGATCACACCGTTTCGACTACATATATATACTGCTAGTCTTCATCTGAGACAATAAGATTGACTGGTTTTGGATCTTCTTACTCTAGTAGTCAACCTTGCATCTAGAAGATGACCTTATCGCCTGATGACGACTAGCAATATGCAGTCAAAATGTCACAATCCACATCACACGTGACTATATAGTTTGTTTGTCTCACAATATATATATCTCTAAATATTTTGAGATAAACAATAATACTCTACCATTATTGTACTTTACCACAATGAATAAGCACAACTTTTTTCACAAAATTATATTCCAGGTTGTTTCTGACATAAAAACCTCCAACAGTACCACCTTTTTAGGGCCAACATTTAACTACATTTGAGTGGACCTTAGCTCCACATGCATACAAAAAAATGACTAGTTTACACTGCCAGTCATTGTCTTAAGTACCAAATTAGCATGCCATTACCCTGACAAAGATGTTGATTTTTCCATCCACAATGTATCTCCCTTCTTTAATTTTCTCAATTCTTACATTATACTTTGCAGCAAGTCTTGCAACCTGTCAACAGAACACTAACATGTAATCCAGAATATGCATTTCATCTCAAGCATTCAAAGAGTGTACAAAATAATGACAAACAAAAGACTAGATAATTGAGAAGAGGGGAAAGGTTATGGTGTTGCATGACGTCTTAAAAAGGGAATGACCTAATATTAAAGTGATTAAAAAGATTGAATGAGTAAAAGATTGAGTTAAATTCTTTCAGATACAAATATTTTTTTCCTCTTATATCAAGTGCTACTTATATTATAACATAACATCATATCAATATTAACTGTCAAATGTGAAATTCAAGGATAAAAGGATTGCAAAGTATCTGGGGAAACTCTGTTACATGTACCAAAGTTATAAATGCAAACTTGTAGAGTTGGCAGTTAGTTGCACATTTAAAAAGTATCCATTATTACAAAGTATACTCCCCATAGGACCAATATGAGTATTCATTAAAACACTGCATGAAAGTTAGCATGCACTTCTTTAATCATTAATTTTATTGCAAGATAAAAAAAATTTCACAAAGTTAGTCTAATCCAATATTTCCTTCCCTGGAAAAACCATTTAGGCCTACTATCATAAAAGAAATACTCATCATTAAATTTGCTTCACTACCCTTTAAAATACAATTGCAGTATAAAAGCTATGGATACAGCAGCAGAGCCCTAAATAGGCACTTAAACTGGAGTTGAAAATAATGTCAAGTGTGGTGGAATTTCATTATACAAACATTACAGGGGTTTTGTTAAAAGCAGGCCTGTGGCCTGCGACGGCCCAGTGGCCTGGCAGCCCGAAGGCCCAGCGGCCCGCAACGGCCTGCGACCTGGAGGCCCAGTCCTGATTTTCCTCAGTTTTATTGTCCAGTAGTAAATCCACGCACATGCACAGATCGACAGTGAGCATTTGTTGCATGTTGTTCAGATAAAAACGTTTTGATTCTCTGTTCATTAGTCTCATTATCAAATGATGAAAGTTATTTTCAAACCATACTTTGAAAGTGAAAATATCATAAGTATTGCAATATGTGAACTGCAAATCTTTTCCATACAGAGACATGTCGATCTATTTACAGGAACTCCACCCCAAAAGGAAAGCGTGTTCTAAAACATTGCTTTCCAGCGATGTAAGTACCGTATTTGTTTTAATATGATAAACGTCCTGGGCACTTCTTAAATTTTTGGACCGATTGATTTGCCGACATTACGCTGTCAGACATCAAGGAGGCAGCTCCTTATTCAAGGTTGGACGAAGAAATACGATAATGAAAGTCCTCGATAATGAAAGTCCTCTATTGTGCTATCAGTTCTGTAAAGAGACTAATGA